TAAATTCAAAAATTATTAAATATATTCTTAATTGGTATTACTGAATAATTCTTACATAAAATTTTTTCGAAGCGATTCATATAATGCATTGGTTTACTATATGAATTAAACATTACAACAATTGTACTCTTATTTTCCTTGTATATCAGCGAGTTAAACATCAGGTACAACTGCTATATTATTTCTTCACGCTGGTTTCTTTGTTAAACTTGAGATGTATATAGTAAAAGATGACACCCTGTTTGATGATAAAGATAGATGTTTAGATGAATTCTACTAGGATTCCACTAACCCTAAATATCCCGTTTGAAATAAAGTTTTGCCTTACATGTCATACTAAGGAAGATAAGAATGATTTTTTATTCATAGATTCTATATCTCTTAAAAGGTTTAATGCCCAACTCTAAGTTAAAGTCAGTAGCATCAGCTAATATTGTAAACAATATTTTCTTGCGTGTAAGTGATTTAGAGACTGTAATGCTCACATATTTGCCTCCTAAATGAGCCTTTTTGACTTTAAACGAATATAGGTTGTAATATTATTGATGGTGAGTCTGTCCTCCTCATCATATTCATTTGATGTTAAAGCCACTAATCTCTCAATAATAATCATTGATATCTATGATGCTTAGTTAGATTGGGATTGGAGCAATAAAGTAGGTATAGTCTCCCAACCATCATTGAAGCACCTTAATTCCTCTTCGAAAATTTCTGAATTAACTGAGCTTGATGTGTAATACAAGCCTGGTCTCCTAATCCTATATTCTATTAAATACTTTTAATATCAATTGAAAATAATAAATAACAGGTTTGAAAATATTACTAAGTCATTATAAAAATCATTAATGTTTTAACTTTGTTATCATTTAAGATTATTAGTAAATATATTTTTCTTCTTATCTTTGTTATTAATTGTATCATTACCTTTGTATAAACTAAAAATCTAAATTATACAAAACTATTAATAATCTTTTTTAGGACTAAACCTGTTTACTGTTTAGATTATAAATTTAATTTAGTATGGTATATATTTTAAAAATATTAAATTAAAATGGTGTAATTAATTGCATTATCTATCTTAAGAAATGAAGATCAAAAAGTAGAAAACAATTTTTATTAAAATTGTAATTGTAATATTTGTAATGAATAATCAAATTCATTTTTGCTTAAAGTCTTCTAAAAAGCAACTACCCTTTGATTTAAACAATGGTTTTAAATCTATGCCTTAATAATTCATGAATTATCCTTATAAGATAAGTGTTCCTGACGCTTGGAACAAAGGATTCTAGCATATTCTAAGTATTGTACAATAAGGATTAACTAAGAATAATTAATAATAAATACTATTTGGCAATAAGGAGTTATTTTAGAGAGGTATGCTAAACTAGGAAAGCAAATCTTTAAAGTTACTATCTGATTGAAGTATTTCCTTTGATGTTTTTACATTCCAAAGACGAATATAGTTATCTGAACTACCAGATGCTAATGTATTTCCATCAGGAGAGAAATTGACTGAATAAACTCTTGATGAATGGCCATCTAATTTCGCTTGTTATTATCCTGTCTTAACTTCCCATAAACGGATAGAGTTATCTGAACTACCAGATGCTAATGTAGTACCATCAGGAGAGTAACAAATTGAAAACACTGTTGATGAATGACCATCTAAAATGGCTTTTTATTATCCTGTCTTAACATCCCATAAACGGATAGAACAATCTCCACCACCATATGGAGATCCACCACCAGATGCTAATGTAGTACCATCAGGTGAGTAACAAATTGAATTAACCCTATCTGAATGACCATCTAATTTGGCTTTTTATTATCCTGTCTTAACATCCCATAAACGGATAGAACAATCTCCACCACCAAATTAAGATCCACCATCAGATGCTAATGCAGTACCATCAGGAGAGTAACAAATTGAATAAACATCATTTGAATGACCATCTAATTTGGCTTTTTATTATCCTGTCTTAGCATCCCATAAACGGATAGACTTATCATCACCACCAGATGCTAATGTAGTACCATCAGGAGAGTAACAAATTGAATTAACACCATATTCA